AAATATTCGTGGCTTCATTTAAATTTAAATGGCTGCCACGCTCTGCCGACCAGCTGATGATCAGCTGTTTGTCGGCAGATCGGGGCAGTCTGGACGCGCTGCAGTCGACAAGGAAGCCTTTGTCGACCGGCACAGGTATGCCTCGTGAAACCGGGTTTACCTGCGCCTGTCGACAAAGGCTTCCTTGTCGACCACGACGCGTCCAAACTGCCCTGATCTGCCCACAAACAGCTGATCATCAGCTGGTCGGCAGAGCGCGCCAGCCATTTAAATTTAAATGAAGCTGCGATTATTTAAATGGCGGCTTCATTTCCCTCTGCCGATCAGCCTAATCTACATGGCTCCATCAACGGAGCCATTTAGTTTAGACACACCCTCGGAGAGCAGTTATCAATGGTTCGAGTCATGCTGGACAAGTGGGGTTCCACAGGTGTCAGTTTTGGGACTCTTTCTGTTCAATAGCTTCATCCGCGGTTTAGATATTGGCATATAGAGCACGGTTATGAAGTCTGAGGATGGTACCACGCCAGGAGGGACTGCAAGTACTTTGGAAGATTAGGATGATTCCGACAAAGTGGAGAAATGGTTGGAGAACAATAGGATGGAGTTTAATAAGGACAAATGCAAAGTGCTCCACTTAGGAAGGAACAATCCGTGTCACAAAACGGGAAGTGACTGTCTAGGAAGGAGTACTGCCGAAAGGCTCTAGGGGTCACAGTGGACCACAAGCTGACTATGAGTCAACAGTGCGACGCTGTTGTGAAAAAAGCCACCATGATTCTGGGCTGCATTCGCAGGAGCATGGTGAGGAAAACACGAGAAGTCATTCTTCCGCTCTGCTCTGCGCTGAGTAGGCCTTAGCTGGAGTATTGTGTCCAGTTTTGGGTGACACATTTCAGGAATGATGTGGTGAAACTGGAGAAGGTCCAGAGAAGAGCAACACAAATTATTAAAGGCCTAGAAAACGTGAGGGAAGACTGAAAGAACTGGGTTTGTTTAGTCTGGAAAAGAGAAGATGGAGAGGGGACATGATAGTAGCTTTCAACTACCTAAAAAGTGTTACAAGGAGGAGGGAGAAAAATTGTTCTCCTTGGCCTCTGAGGGCCGGACAAGCAGTGGGCTTAAATTGCAGCAAAGGAGGTTTAAGTTGGACATTAGGAACTCAGGGTGGTTAAACACTGGAATAAATTGCCCAGGGAGGTTGTGGAATCTCTGTCACTGGAGATCTGTAAGAGCAGGTTGGACAGACACCTGGCAGGGATGGTCTACACGGTGCTTGGCCATACCATGAGAGCAGGGGACTGGACTTGCTGACCTTTCTATGACTCTGATTCCCCACCCTTGCCCCACCTTTTCCCCCAACCAAGTCAGCCCAGGGAACAGTGGGGCTGGTGCCAGGAGAATGGGTCCGCCCCCTCCCGCACTCCCTGACAGCTCTCCGGTCCCCCCCACACATAGCCCCCCCCCCAGCAGCTGTGACATCCCCGCAGGGGTCTGGCCGGCCCACCCGGCACTGGTCTCGGATACTCACAGCTTGTCGGGCCGGGTTCTGTAGCACAGCGTGTACACGGCCATTTCAAACTCAGGGGTGGAGCCGGCC